CAAAAACAAACATTCAGTTCAAATGCATGAACTGTGTAAACACATAAGACTCTTAGCAACTATTGCTGGTGAATGGGATGGAGCTTACTGTTTTTCAGTCCTAAGCCATCTGCTTTCTCTTGGACATCAGACCTCCTAGTTGCCAATGACTGAACCCTCTGTCCAGAAGAAAGTCAGAGAGCACTGTTCTCAACCTCTCTGTCCCAGATTTAACAACATGTAATAAATCACATACAATCCGGTACTTAATGCCAGAGATGAATTCCTACATAGAGGTAAATGCTTAAAATAATATTTAATACCCTGACTAGTTTACTTGCAGGAGTAAGTTTTATATGTTATTTTATTTATTAAAAAAATTTCTTGTCCAACTGGTGTGGCTCAGTGGTTGAGCGTCGACCCATGCACCAAGAGGTCGCTGGTTTGATTCCCGGTCAGGACACATGCCCAGGGTGTGGGCCTGATCCCCAATGGGGGGCATGCAGGAGGCGGCCAATCAATGTTCTCTCTCATTGATGTTTCCATCTCTCTCCCCCTCTCACGCTCTCTCTCTCTGTAAAATCAATAAAGGAAAAAAGAAATTAAAAAAAAAAAAAAATTTCTTCTTCTTGCCCTGGCCAGTTTTGCTCAGCGGTTAGATAGTTGGCCTGCGGATCAGAGTCCCGGGTTCGGTTCCAGCTAAGGGCATATACCTTGGTTGCAGTTTGGCCCCGCCCTGGCTGGGGTTGTGTGGGTGGCAACCACTCAATATGTCTCTCTCACATGGATGTTTCTCTCTCTCTTCCACCCTCCCTCCCTCCCACTCTATCTGAAGATAAATGCAAAAAGGTCCTCGGGTGAGGATAAAAAAAAAAAAATTTATTTTTCTTTATCAATTTTAGAGAGAGAAGGGAATAGGAGAGAAAGATAGAAACATCGATGAGAGAGAACATCGATTGGCTGCCTCCTGCATACCCCACACGGGGGATTTGGCCTACAACCTGGGCATGTGCCCTGGGTGGGAATCAAACTGGCGACCTGTTGGTGCATGGGTCGATGCTCAACCACTGAGCCACACCAGCTGGGCATAAGTTTTATATTTTAAAATATCCTGCAGCCCTGGCTGGATTGGCTCAGAGGTAGAGTGTCGGCCCTGTTGCAGTTCATCCCTGGCCCTGGTCCAGGTCATGTGGGAGGCAACCAGTTGATGTGTCCCTCTCACATCGATGTTTCTCTCTCTCTCCCTCTACCTCCCTTTCACTTTATCTGCAGATAAATAGAAAAAAAAAATCCTCGGGTGAGGATTAAAAATACATATATATATATATATATATATATATATATATATATATATATATATCTCAATATATATATATACCATGCAAAGTAAACTGACTTTTTCCTTGTAAAACTAAAAAGAATGAATTCTCTTATAAAACTCATTAAAAAACTGCACCCCTGCCTAAGCTCAAATAATGGGTTAATTTACAGAAAATCTAGTAAAGTTAGTCAGAGATCAAATACCCCTGAACATGAATTATCTAAAGTTACTCTGTGATCAGACAGCCAGGAAAGACCTCAAACCAGTACCAGGTATTTCAGGAGGTGGTGTGCACACTTGTGGTTTTGTGGTCTTCAACCGTCTTGCCAGCCTGGATCACTCTGGCTGGTCAGGGACAGCTGGTGACAGCGTGCAGCCTGGCTCAGCAGAATCCAGAATAGGAAAGCCTGTGCCTCCCAGAGATGAACTCCCTGCTAAAATCTCACTGCTGTGGCTGTTCCCACCCTTCCAGGGACCTGACCAAGACCCTGACCAGGCATATTTTCCAACGGATGAGCAATATTCTACAGCTGGTTTAATTTGGGATTCAGTAAGAAAAGTTAAAACTTTCTATTCATCTATGTTTAACATCAAATGGAACCAACAGATGATATAATCTATGATGTTACTGTCACTTGTGTCCTTCTGGCCTATACATATTTTTCTCAAAGCTCCTCTTCGAAGCACCCAGCCTGTACCTGGCTGCCTGGCTCACTGTAGGCATGTTAACTGTTCTACCACTTGAACAAAATAATAGTGGGGTATTACAGGAAGCTCAAGGTCCCAGGGAGGGATCATCTCTCCCTGGAGCTGAAAATCCAATGCTCATATCCAGGGAAGAGTGAGGGACTGGCCCTAGGCGGCCATACAGGCATGGCTAAAGACAGAAACAGTGTCCTCAGAGCTGGCTAAACACAGTGACAGCTGAACTGTGGAGGGTCACAGAGAGAGAGAAGCCCTCATGGCTGGAAAGGGGTATGACCACCAAGGGAGCAGGAAAGTTTGGAGAAGCACAACTGCTCCACAGAATGCCACTCCGTCACCCTACTCCTGGATTGCAGGTGGAGTCACCAGCACCCATCTCCTTGCCAGTATCTTGGGCAGAAAAGCAAGAGCTCCAAGGGCCACTTCTCAGTGTCTCTCAGATGTGGAAGCAACCTCAGGACAAACCAGGTCTGGATTCTTTAGGTGTAAAATCCTTTCTAGGTCTGATATCTATCATCACATGGCCACATTTCCTCTGCTCCTTTGGGAGAAGATGAAGTTACTGAACCCAACCTAATCCTGGCAGCTCATACAGAGGGAGAGCCTAGACAGACACACTAACTGCACAGACACGTGAATACCAGAGACCTAGCAGCTGCACTCATGAGGGCAACACAATCCAAGAGCCACAAGGAGGCACAATCAAGGCCTGACCGCAGGCCCTAGGCAAATACTACAGCTCACTCCCCCAGCAACACTGCCCTGCAGGATTATTTCATGTGACAAGCCAAGGCTGGGAGAGCTCACCCAAAGTGTCTACCCAACTTCACAGCCCCAGTTGCTTTCTTGCCACCAGGGTTAGTCAGAAGTATCTGTTCCAGCTCCCATACTGCCCTTTCCCCTTGAATGTCTACAGACTCTGCTTCCTGATGTCACTCAAACCTCTTCACCCAGAAGAACACAAAGTAATCTTTCCAACACTGAGGTCTGTGCAGGATTCCTTAAGGACTTCCTCTTCACTCCCTACTAGATGAACTCTCAACTCCTCTGCTTGGCATTAAGGGCCTATCATATCTGACTTCCCGCTTACCTCTGCAGCCTCATTCGTTCTGCTGTCCCCACAATTCCCCAAAGAGATGAGCTCTCCCTCCTACCGTTTTGTCCTGAAAACTACTCTTCCTTTGTCAAGGAGCCCACTTTTCACCGCAAGGAATGGCCAAGGCTAAGAGAACCTGAGCCCTCGCCACAAATGGCCACTAAATCAATGGATTAAAGTACAGATTGCTGAGTGAGAGCAAGCCCTGAGGCCCAGCCCACTGGACCCTTCACAGTGCCTCAACACCAGGAGGCGAGAGGTCACCAGGACTTCTATGCTAATGGTCCACTGCTCTTCTCTAATGCCAGTGCCACGGGGCATTACTTAAATAGGGCCCTACCTCCAGGAAACCCATAAACTTGGAAAATCCCAGCTGGCTGTAAACTAGTAGTCCCTCTAGTCTACCTTATCTCTCGTTTCTTGAACGTCCTAAGTCCTTGATGGACTCGACACTTCCTCCCGTTTCTTTGCAAAGGCCCCAAGTGCCCAGGTCCCCAGCACCTTGAGGCATACAGAAGGACACGGCCTAGCTCTAATGCCCCTGTGCAGTCCACTTCCAACAAAAAGAACTGAACAGACCCAAAGTCCAGAATATCTCTTGGTGCTTAAGAGTTTTCCTGGAGTAATCTTTACCCAGCAAGACAAGGAGACCCCGCCCCTCCAGAAGCAGGCAGGGATTCCCTTTTCCCTCCCTTTCACCTTCATCACCCTACTACCCAGGGACCACAAGAGCCCGGCTCAAAGCCCTTGACCCCCATCCACAGCCAGGCCACCCGCAAACCCGGGAGGCCACTCAGTCCAGGTGCGAAGGTCCCGTCCACTGCCCCCAACTCTGAACTCTGGAGACCCCGGACCCGCTGACCCCTCCCCGAGCCGCAGGGGTCAAAGGGTGCATTCTTCCCTACCCCACCCCACCCCGGAAAGGAGAGGCAGAACGAGTCCCACTGCAGACGGGACCGGAAGAGCGCGGGCAGGGCAGTCCATCCGGCGAGAGGTCAGGGCCTGGGGGGTCGCACTGGGGCCACTGTCCCAGCCTGGGGAGCCTTGAGGCGTCGGCGGAGGAAAGAGCACCTCCCCCTTCCCGCTCCGGGCCTCGTCCGGCCTCTGGGCCCCGAGGCGCAGCCGTCCCGAGGGAAAGGAGACACGGGGACAGACTGGAGAGAGGACACTTACTTTAAAGGCTACATAGTTTCACTCCCTGCGTTTCCCAGAGCGGCGGCGACACCTCTCGGCCCCTAAGCACCGGCCTCATGGACCACAACCCCAGAGTGCGGCCCCACTCAACCGCCCACCCTCTTACTCCACCGTTGGGCGGAGCCGCTCCTCAATCTCGAGTCAGTCCAATGAGCGGCCGTCCTTATCCAGAGTGACGTTCACATAGAGCAATCATTAAGTCCGACCAGCCAGGGGGCGGGGCTCAGGCGGTGCACTGCGCTTCCTACTCTGGCTGGACCAGCCTAGAGCCGCGGACTGCGCGTGCCCGGAACGGGAGAGGGCGGGGTCGCGAGCAGCTGTGACACTAGGGAAGGGGTCCAAGCTCGGTCTCTGGAAGGTGGGCTGGACCGAGATAGAGAGACTCGGGAGCCATACTGCCCCATGGATTGCCCTTTACTGCTAGCTTTGGAGGACGGAGGTGTCCAGTCCTAGAAAGTACACCACTCTTGTCGCTAGCAGGTCCCTAGGTTCTAGTCCCCTCAGTTGCATGAATGTCGAGTGACCCAGTCCCCTCTCTTTTTACCTGGATCTCAGTTTCCCCATACGTAAAATAGAAGGTTAGATCTACCAAGCGCTAATATTCCAGAACTGCAGTGGGGTGAGGCGAGATGAGGGACCCACACGTGACCTTCCCTCGCGGGGCCCCGCCTATCCCTTGTCCAGGAGATGGAAACGCACCGCGAGGACGGGCGGGGGTGGGTGGATCCTAAGAAACACGACCCGGCCGCCCTTGGCAGCGGCTAAGGCGGAGCGCGCAGCTCGAGGGCTAGCCCCGAGGACGGCACCAGAGGAGGATGGGGGCCGCAGCGCGGCCTTCCCAAGGGGCCACCGTGGAGGCCAAGGCGGTGCAGAGACTCAGCGTGTGATTCGCAGCGTATCTGAAAGGATGGACGAGGGGACGGGAAGCCGCTAACGGAGCTCCTTCTCCAGGCCCGGTCCTCAGAGGTGCACGTCGCAAGACCCCAGCGGGCTCCGTCGACAGCACTGCAGCGCGGAGCTAGTCTTGAAGCATGAGGCGGGTGCCAGCGGCCCGACCCGGGGCCGCAGTCGGGGTTGGCCTTGTTCGGCCGCGCTGAGGGTCTGAGACCGAGAGGGGCACAGGCGGCCAGATTCCGGAGCGCACCGCCATGGCGACGGAGGAGTGCAAGGCGCTGCTGGACGCTCTCAACAAGGCGACCGCATGCTTCCACCACCTGGTGCTGACCGTCGGCGGCTCGGCAGACTCGCAGAACCTGCGTGAGGAGCTGCAGAAGACGCGCCAGAAGGCGCAGGAGCTGGCGGTGGCTACCGGTGCCCCGCTGACGACCGCGCTGCGAGACAAGGGCCTGGGCGCCGAGGAGCGCGCAGAGTTCGAGCGCCTCTGGGTAGCGTTTTCCGGTTGCCTGGACCTGCTGGAAGCCGACATGCGGCGCGCGCTGGCGCTGGGCACCGCGTTCCCGCTGCACGCGCCGCGACGGCCGCTCGTGCGCACGGGTGTGGCGGGCGGTGCGGCAGCCGTAGCGGCGCGCGCCCTGAGCGTCCGCACCCTGCGGCACGAGGCGGAGCGCGACTTCGACGTGGACGACCTGCGCGAGCTGGAGCGGGAGATCCTTCAGGTGGGCAAGATGATTCACGACATGGAGATGAAGGTGAACGTGCCGCGCTGGACGGTGCAAGCCCGGCAGGCGGCGGGCGCGGAGCTCCTGTACAGTGCTGGTGCCTCTTCGGCGGGCTTTGTGTCCGTAGAAGAGCGCACAGGGCCCTGCGATCCGAGCAAAGCTCTGGCTGCCACCGTTTTCAGCGCTGTGTTGCTGGTAGCCGTGGCCCTGGCGGTGTGCGTGGCAAAGCTGAGCTGACGGACACCGGACCGCCTGCCGCCGCCACGGCTCTTCTCTCAGAGACACCCCTCTTCTGCAATGACCCTATCACCAGGACTCGGGATGGGAGTGGAATCTGGCATGTTTAAGGGAAGCGGTTCTAAAACCCCGTGTGTGTAGGCGTACACGCATGTTTCAAGCACACATCTACCAGCAGAATGTGGTGCCTCTTGCTGGCCGGGGAGGAGTTAATTTTGTGCGGGCCAGCAGGGCATTACCGGTAATGTATGCAGGAGCTTTATCTGCTATTAATAGAAAACCGTCCACAGTGACCCCAGATTCCTCTGAGTTAATGGGTTACCGCGTGTGCTGCTGGGGCGTGTTTACACTGAGTCCGAGCTTGGTGCAACCACCTCTACTGGCAACTCCCACTCTCTACGTGGGACAGTTTGAAAAGGGGGGTGATGAAGTGTGGAGAGGGGGACTGTTTCTTCCTGGACAAGAGGCAAATTGTAACAGGATATAAGCAGTTTTTTCCCCCCCTAATATTATTATTACCTTAATCCTTTAGGGCCTAAATTTAGGAGAGTACAAATAGAAGTTCATGCAAAGTGATTACTCTATGGCACACGATTGCACTTCTTGGCAGTTTATCCATTAGTCACCAAAAGCAGCTAGAAGAGGTTTGGGGTCGTGCCCTCCCTCCAGGGTCTGACTCTGATTAGGAAACCAGAGAAGGGCATAGAACCTTCCCTCAGGGGGTTGGAGCCACTGCGCACAGTGCCTATTTAAAAGGATCCCCCCTCCCCCTAGGGGTGCAAACGGAAGGGCCCCATGCTATATAAATAGGGACTTTCTCCTTCGCTTTGGTTTGTTTTTGTTCCAGAACTAGACCAGGGTTTTTGATCCTCCTTTGGGGGAGGGCTACTGAATCCTCTTTAGAGTCCTTAATCCTATCTGTCCCTTGGAATTTGCTTGCCAGCCAGTAGGAGAGCTGGCTTTGGAAGGAACTGCACAGCTCTCTACCCCAACACTGCCCCCTGAGGGGGTATAGTGGCATCGCTGGCACACAGAGAATATAACAGTTTTAACTTGGAATTTAAGAAGTATTTAAAAAATTGCAATCAATCTGTGGACGGTTTGCTCAGTGGTTAGAGCCTCGGCCCGTGGACCAAAGTCAGTCACGGGTTAGATTCCGGTCAAGGGCACGTCCCTCAATTGTGGTTCTGTCCTGGCCCTGGTTGGCCTCTTGTTGGAGGCAACCAGTTGATGTGCCTCTTTCGCATGGATGTTCCTCTCCCTTTTTTTCCCTTCCATTCTGTCTGAAAATAAATGGAAAAATATCTTCAGGTGAGGATTAAAATAAATAATAACATTCATTTTAAAGAAAAATCACATAACCACATTGTGTACTATCAAAGCTGGTTATTTTTCTAAAGGTCATTTGGCTACAAATTTGCATGTCAATGAGTCAAACACAGCACTTTTTTTTTTGGTAGGTGCCCCTAGCAGGAACGGAACCTGGGACTCTTTGGTCCGTAGGCCAACGCTCCAACCACTGAGCCAAACCAGCCAGGGCAAACATAGCACTCTTTACTTTTCTATTTTGGTAACTAAATATACATTTGCATCTTATTTTTAAATTGATCTTGAAGGCATAGCAAAAAGTACTAGAACCACTGGTGTAGATGACAGAAGTTAAGTGGCCCTTGCCTCACTTGGTCAATAAATAAGGAAATGTAGAAAAACCCTGGGTCTCAAGCTGGAATTTGCCTGAGCAGGGCTGCCTTTGTTGCAGAGAGAGTATCTGTTGAGAAAAAAGATGCATTTAACTCCCTAAAGGTAATAATTTGGAATAAAATTCAGAGGCTTTGGTTTGGCTCAAAATGACAAAGATTTTTTTTTTTTTTTTTTGTCTTTTTTACCCCAGTAGTGAGAAAAGGGACCAAGAGGAGGGAATTGGCAATATTTCACAAGGGCAACTTGGAGGGCCAAGTGGCAGAGGCAAATAGCAGTCTTAACTGGGTGTTTGGGCACCCAGTCCTAACTAAAGAGGAACCTCCCAGCCCAGCCCACTGCCACGCCTCCTTAGCACACAGGTTCCATTAATTTAGGAGATGAGGTGTTTGCATGTGTCTGTGATAATGGTTTTAAAAGACAAGGTCTTAAACCGATTACATTTTTTTTTTTAAATCCTCACCCAAGGATATTTTTTCCATTGATTTTTAGAGAGAATGGAAGAGAGGGAAGGAGGGGGAGAGAAAGAGAAACATTGATATGAGAGAGACGCATCAATTGGTTGCCTCCTGCATGCACCCTGACCAGGGTTGAGGATTGAACCGGCAACCCAGATTATGTGCACTTGGCAGAGAATGGAGCCCAAGACCCTTCGATGCGAGGGTCAATGCTCTCACCACTGAGCCACACTGGCGGGGGTTAGCCAATTAAAAGTTTTATGACAATAACTAAACAAAAGGAACTTCTGCCTGGCCAGTGTGACTCAGTGGTTGAGTGTCAACCCATGCACCAGGAGGTTGCCAGTTCAATTCCCGGTCAGGGCACATGCCCAGGTTGTGGGCCCAATCCCCAGTGGGAGGCATGCAGAAGGCAGCCAATTGATGTTCTCTATCATCGATGTTTCTATCTCTCTCTCCCTCTCCTCTCTCTCTCTCTAACATCAATAAAGAAAAAAAAAAAAAAACCAAAAGGAACTTCTTCTGCCTCATCCAGCCTGGGTGGCCCAGGGTACCTTCAGAGATGACACAGAACGTTTTCTAACTCCTCTCTTCCTCTTCCCATACACAACACAACATGGAATCTCTGTCACCTTCCCCAAAGTCTCATCTCAGGCAAGAGGAGACTGGGGTATTTTGTGACCCAGTGTTGGAAAATATCCCCCAAACCAAGCCCTAAATAGATTCTTCTCTTTCTAAGACTATGATACTGTAACTCTCTGTTCTTTTTTTTTTTTTTTTAAGAATAGTTTAATGATTTTTCAAGAGAGAGGAAGGGAGAGGGAGAGAGAGAAACATCACAACATCGATCAGCTGCTTCCTCCACACCCCCTACTGGGGATTGAGCCCAAAACCAGGGACTGGGAATGGAACCAGCAACCTCTTGATGCACAGGACATCACCCAACCCACTGAGCCTCACTGGCCAGGGTGTGACTCTCTGTTCTTATCAAGGTGTTTTGTCCATGAAAAACAAGTTGTTCAGCAGAACCTGTTTGAAAACAACCCATCAGAAGTTGTGTGATCCATAGAGAGCAACTGGGACAAACCAATTTCTTTGTTACTCTTTCCATCCACTTGGCAGATCCTTGGGTATTCACTTATATGAGCAATCAGATGTGTACCGAATTCTAAGAGTCCTCTCTACTCACTGAAATTAGTGATAAAATGTTGCAAAAAAAGTTCAATTACAATAAACATATTTATGCTGTAGACTTGTTAGCCTAAACAACTCTGAGTTTAAAAATTTTAAACGTTAGGAATACTTGGCATTATTTGTAGTTCTAACATTGCCTAATAGAACTTTTGCAAAATGACTTGCTGCTTGAGCAACAGGTTATTCTTTCTTTTCTCTCTGCTCTCATTTCTACATATAATTCAAGAAATTGATTTCTTGTAGAAGCCTCATTTAATTTAGATGTTTGATATAAGTTACTGATTTAAAAAAATTTTTTTGGCATGGTCTTATACCATGATACAAGTGATAGAAAAAACTGCAACATGTTTAATACAGGATATATATGAAGAGGTCAGTGGTAAAGTCTATGGCAGAGAATATCTACTTTCCCAAATTAAAGGTACAATTTAAAGGATAGATCTTTACTTTCAAAGTCAAATCTTTTGTGAAGTTCAATACTTGTAGAAAGGAAACATTCCTGGCTTCTCTTTTGGGAAAAACAGCACTGCTTTCTGTGATACTGAGAAGACAAGAACTTGGAATGTCAAGACACTTATGGGAACTTTGAACTATTGCTATTAGTTTAAAAAAAAAAACAAACCACAACACACAACTATTAATGATTAATGCCTGCTGGCAAAATTTTTTTTTAATGTGTTCTAAGAACTTATACTTTTTAAATGCCACAAGGGAAAATATTTTTGGTAAATAAAAGTAGAGCGTAAACGTCATGATTTACCTAACGTTTACAGTAAGCTACATATGAGATGTGTGATGTCGAATGACTAAAAAGTAGTTCTGATTGAAGAGTTCTGGTTTGCCTCAGGACCCTGATAATGCTGCATTTTCCTTTTCAATGTGCACATTGATATGTTTTTAGCTATTTGGTTATTTTTCAGAATGTAGTTCTTTGTTCTGTATTGAATGCTTGTTGAGGGTGCGAGCTCCAGAGTATGAGTCTGAGAAATCAAGTGCTGTAGGACAGCCCTCTGTGCTCTTTGAGGGCATGCCTCCTCCAGCAAGATCTGACCTGCTGCAGGTGGCAGGGGCTCTGCCTCTCTCTCCAAGTACCTCAGACAAGTTACTGACCTCCCTGTGCCTCACGTCCCTCATGTGTGAAAGGGAGGGTCCTCATTAACTCAAAGGTCCCTTTCAGAAGTTAAAACATTTAATAGAATGCAGTTAAACCAGAAAGGGTTATTTTGTTTGTGTGTGTGTGTGTGTGTGTGTGTGTGTGTGTGTGTGTTGTTGGTTTTGGTGCATATTGAAATGGAATCTTCCAGTTTGGTGGTTATTGTCTAAAATTAGTCTGTTGGTAAAATGCCGTATGAATTTTAAAAATCAGAATGAAGCGTGCTTACTGTGATTTTAGTCCATATCAGAACTAGTGGATGGACTTAAACACAAATTTGTGTAAATACTACTTATTTATAGTACGTAGATTAGGAATTTAAATTCAGACTCTAAGTCTGAGTTCAAGAAAGCCTAGTATTTATTGAACAGTTTATTGTATCCAGTAGTTGGACCACCTAAACTGATTCTGGGCAATTACAGAAAACCTGTCATTTGTCCAGAAGGCTGGGAGAATCCCATTCTGTAAGTAACCTGGTACCCTCAGAACTGTAACTACATTGGCTGCCTGATGTGGGGGAACATGAGTGCAGCATGGATTGTTTTGTATGTGACATTGATAGGAGTAGAGAGGGAATGGTAAGGCACTAACAATGTTTATAGATATTATAAATCATGTGTGTTCTTTCTTAATCAAAGAAGGTACACTCTGACCTGGTTACTGTGTGCAGGACACTGACCCCTCCCGCAGTTTTCCCAGGAATACTGTCCATCCTCTGATTCCAGGAATGGGCTAAACTGACATCATAAAAGGATTAACTGCCTTGTTATCAGACTTTAAGATCCTGGGAGTAGACACGCTGACCACATACCCTACAGCCCTCATCCTGCTGTACCCTCCTCCAATGCATGTAGCTTTTCTTCCCTATCCCTATATCATCAGTCAACTGGCAGAAGATGTTAGAGCAGTTTGTTTTTTTATCCTCACCCGAGGACATTTTTCAATATTTTGTTCAGATAGAGTGGGAGAGAGAGAGAGAGAAACATCGACGTGAAAGGGACACATTGAGTGGCTGCCTCCCTCACAGCCCCAACCGGGGCCGGGGACAAACTGCAACTAAGGTACGTGCCCTTAGCAGGAACCGAACCCAGGTCTCTCTGGACCACAGGCCGATGCTCAACCACTGAGCCAAACTGGCCAGGGCGTAGAGCAGTTTTTTATGATGCCATACCTACTACTCTCTCCTGTTGCCGAAAATTCGAGTCAACACTCACAAAAGATTCGACCTTGTCTCTACTTATTGACTTAGTGGTGACAGGTGGTAACAGACCGTTTTGTCCAGTATCAACATCAGATTCAAGCTTTGTGTCTACTGTCTGAATGATGCTTTTAACTCAAATGCTTATTAATAAGTAAAAATTAAAGATAACATTTAGCATTTAT